AGTGCTTCTCTCTAGCAATCCACTTATCTTTCACTGTATATTGCTTGCAACAAAAAGCTTTTTTAAAATTTGAATAAGGTTGCATTGCAACCAAGGTATTTTCAAAAAACACCTGCATCATTGCTAAAATGGACAAGAGGTTTTTGCTTGATAAACGGTTTCCTGTGCCACCTCAAGGACACAAGGTAGGATAGTGAATACAAGTGGTCAGAAAGCTAATCACTTGCCTGTGGAAAAAGTACTCGTTCCCTAAACACCCAGAGGAGAAAAAGCTCCAAGAACTAAAGAGAAGTTTCTCAGCAGGGCTGAGTCACTCTAGAAGTTCAGTCTTTCGGAAGTGGCATTGCACTTGAATAACCCCTTCTCCATTATCAAAGATGCGTGTACAGATTCGAGCTCCATTTTTGGTTTTTCTAAATGCTCTTCTCTGGGTGTCTTTGATGCTTAGGGACCTAGTCCTAACCAACTTCTACCCGGAAAGAATCACTTCATTAGCTCAAGAAAAAGACTCCAAAGCTTGCGCCCATACAGAAAACACATTCAAGCTCTGTGCAGGTGAATTCCCTCTTACCTTGCTTACCCAGCTGCTGGTAATTATATTACTATTACCAGTGTTTTGTACCAAAATAAAGATTAACAAGATTACAAATAAGGATGAAGGAGATTTAAGTGAAGATGAGCGAGTTAATTATGGAAATCCTGTGGTTTTCCATTACTTTTTATAAATCTGCAAATGCGTACACAAGGAAAACCAGCATGACTGTCACTCTTCTGCATACAACTTGGAGACCAGGCTTTTTCAGGAAGGTTTTAGGCTCTAGGTGTTGACGCAAGTCGGAATTTTTTAGGCAACTTCATGCATATACAATACCTAGCTAGCACTGGTCCTGCCACAGCACAATTCTGAGATTCAAAACCCAATTTGCAGCTTAGATTTGTCTAAGAAGATTGCACTAACCATTGCCTGTAGCATAAGCTTAGAAAGATGTAGCTCAATTTTTAAATGGCATTTCCTGGTACATTTCCAACATTACGTTGGAAGAATTTCAGCTACACTGTTGTCTTATTTTCTCAGTCCAAATCTAATCAGTTTTTCCTTTTCTTTCAGGATCAAACTTCTTAATGCAAGATGTTTACATTTGGAAGTTAAGATTAATGAACTGCCCATCTATTACTGTAATTAATTATTCCTAACAAAGTTTTGAGGAAGGAAATTCATAGAACTGTGTACCCACGAATGAGGTCTTTGATAATCTTCTCTTGATCGCATTTTCAATCATTTATCTTTCTCTTCTGTTCTGTGTGGAGGCTATTGTATCTCAGTAAAATTTATCATCAACCTACATTGGTCTGCACTGTGTTTTTATTAATCCTTTAAAAAAGTGCAAGCAATTCCAAAGACAAGTTGCTAAACTAGTGTTCTTGCAAAATCCCAGTTTTGGCATTCAAACCCCATCCTGTACAATTTCCCAGCGAAATTTCACATGCTGCCTTAAGCAATTATTTGCTACTAAAAGCAAATGGTGCTACACCTACTGTATAACCATAGTCAAGATAATAAGGTCTGAAGTCCAGATTTCTAGAAATAAGCATATCTGAGATATGTTTAACTTCTTATTAACATACTAAGTATTACAAAGTTTTATTTTAAAAATAAGTGTTGCAATGCAATGTGGCCAACTACAAATAGACAGATGCACTATTGCTCTGATCAACCCAGAAACCAAGCTCCAAGTAACAGAATTACTAAGTGTACTAAATGCAGTTGGAGTTGAATACAGATGTTACTTACTGTTTGATAAATGTTTAACCTAGGAAGCAAAAAAGCATACCCTAACCAATTAAAAGTGCAGTTGGAAATTTGAAAGAATCATATTACAGTTAAGCCAAAACTCAAGCAAAATATCTGGGATTAGTTTCTTCATCTCAAATGATCACTTCAGTAACTGAGTCTGGAAAATACCAGATCTTCACCTTCCCTCCTTGCCCTGAGGCCCTGGTAGTGGAGTTTGAACACAGATACTCTAAGAGACACTTTGCCCATTCAGGAACAGTCAAGGGCTACTCTAAATAAATGATGCAGCAGCCTGTTCTGTTCAGGAAAATGTTTTTCAGGGTCTTTAATAGTTAACTGACGTCAAAACCAAAGAAAAACTGCACCACAAAATCTTTTAGCACCTCCAAAGAAAAGTAGCCATATGGTTGCAGTATTTAAACAAAACTCCTGTCCAACTTGCCCAGAGTTTCTGGAGAGAAATCTCCTCTCCTTTTCCAACTTTATGCTGCATTTTCCCTGAGATAAAACAGGCACAGCCCTCCTCAATTATCCTATCACGTGTCACTGGGAAATGTCTTTATGGGGGCCTCTGAGCCCTTGATGACTGTGGGCCAGGCTCTGTAACAGATGATGGTTTTGAGTCCCCCGAGGCAGTGGGGAGCTGACCTGGGCAGGGTCTATGGTGCAGCAGCACATCCCACAGCCCTTCAGGGAAATCGCGATAACTCTACCGGGCTCAAACCAGAGTCCATAGTCCCCTTGGCCGGGAATACCTCCGGCGAGGGACACCACCTGCTCCAATATAATCTCTTTTAAGGCCAAAATTTCAACAAGAGGGCACAAAACTTTTGCAGCAAGGTCCAGCTTGTCGCAAAACTAACTTCATGCATTATATAGATACGTATTTTTACTACAACATTACACACTGTGATGCTTAATACATCCGCAAGCTTTTTTTATCCCATGAAATCAGTCTGAAATCTTAAATTAACCATGTGTCCCACAGTAACATTTTAAATTTTACAGAAGACTGGGAGCTACTACTGAACCAATGAAGCAAAGTATTTGCTTTTTCCAAACCCTAGGCATTTAACTGCAATATTACATTATGGCAGGTTTCTCGCTCTAAGTGGGATGTCATTACATTTCACAACATTTGTTATTCAAATTTATCTTGACTGAGGTTTAAACTGATTAGGAAGAGAACAAAACTCAAAAGGAGATTGCTAAGAGACAGCAAAGACTCCGGTGAACCTAATGAGACATTAATACTCGGACTCTCAAAATGTCTGTGTAAGTACAGAGAAACATAGATATTCTTAACAGTGCAGAAAATTGGAGTTGCTTACCTTGCAGGAAAAGATCCTTCTCAACAAGGACGAGGCCTGAGCTTGATCATCACTCAACACCATTTCCATGATCTGCAAACGATCACTTCAGTAACTCAGGCTGTCTGGAAAATACCAGATCTTCACCTTCCCTAATTTAAATTAACATTGTAATTTAAATTCTGAGGGTCACCCATCAGCATTACAAAGTCACAGGATTTTATCCTAAGTCCTACTGCTCTGTTTCTCATATCCCACAGCAGGCAGAATGGGAAGATTCAACTCCATTTACATTAAAAAAAAACCCAAAACACTGAAAACCTGTATTGACAGAAAGAAGTTCAAAAGAGTGCCTTGAGTATAATTAAAAAGCCATCATATAATCTAATAAGTGTAGCTGAATACCCCCATTTATTTTAAGACAAATTCAGGATGCTTAGAGAACCTGATTTATGAGGTTTAGAAATTTATGTTTTAAACACAAAAATAGATATTCTCATTTGAGACACCGACAGCAGGTCTAACACCAGTCTTTCGGGAAAAAAATACTTCAACTATAAATTAATAAAGCTGTAATGACATAAATGTGCCGGGGCTGCTCCTGCCGAGCTCGCTGAGGCACAGCCGCCTCGGCCCTTGCAGCCGCCGCCTCAGCAAGGCTTTTCCCGCCGTTTTTCCCCGTCACGTGCCCAGTGGTGCCTCAGATACTTCCCGCCCCGCGCCGCCTCAGGGCCGCTCCTCTCCGGCCCCTCAGCAACAGCGAGTTCTTCTGGCCCTTCAAAGGGTTAATTCCCGTCAGGCTGCGTAGGGAGTTTCCGCCATGTTTCTCTCTCCTTCTTCTTCTTCTTCTTCTTTTTTTTTTTTTTTTTTTTTTTTTTTTTTTTTTTTTTTT